CCCTCCTCTGGGCTCCTGACTCTTTCTGCAGCCTTTCTACTGCTACTCCTTGGCTCCTCCTAATTGCTGTCTTTCTGTCACACCCCTGATCTTCTGGTAGGAAAGATCTACACCTAGCCTTCTCGGACAAGGGCGAAAAATCTCGGAGGGCCCGTGTGCAAGTTGTTCACGTTGAAGATCCCTTTGTGGTCTAAAATCGATAAGAGTAGGCTTCGGCCGTCACCCGGGCAAAATTCAAAATGTCCTACCAACTGGAAATATTAGGTATGTCCCGCGCGCTCATATGACCTTATGCTGTTGTGAGCGCCGTAAAAACACTTACCGAAAAAAAAAAGATCTTTTGGTCATAAACTGAAGAGTAGGCTTCGGCCGCCACAGGGGCAAAATTCAAAATTAATTCCAACCAAACTAAACGACATGCTTTATATGTCCGCCCGCTCGTGTGATCTTATGCAGTTGTGAGCATCGTAAAAACACTTATCCATAAATAATTTTTTTTTTAAATTTTAATAATAAAATAAATAAATACATCTACATGTAAATTAATAAATATCTGATACCACAATGCTAAGCAGCCTTGTGATTTGCTGTTTTCATCAAGTGTATCACCTCCTGACTGAGAAAATCAAACATGAAAGAAACACAGCTGACAAGATGATCTTTAAAATATGTTTTTAAAAACTGAATTGAAGCGCTAACAAGCTGCTGAGGAAGATTATTTTGCATCAAAATTTGAATGAACTAAAACTTGTAGCAGATTTTTGGTCTTTGTGGTGAACTTTCGGGGAAAAGTAAAACAGTCACTATGAAAAGATGTAGAGATAACATCGTTTTTCCTAACATATTTTCACATTTCTTTTGGGACCCCCGAAACTGACAAACCGTTTTGTGTCGTGTGTGGTGTTAAATTTTAATCTTTTCAATGACTTTTCCGAATTTATTGGAACACATCTGACGTGTTTAGAGATTGTAGCAGAGAGTACTAGACCCCTTTAAAAAAAAATAAAACGATTTATTTTGGAGACTACAAGAAAGCATTGGGAATTTAGACCACTTGCCAAGCTTTTTGCTGACTGCCTGTATACTATTAATGAAATTATGACCCCTGTTACCAAAACCATCTACGATTCATTAAAGTATGGAATATTAATTTTTTTAATGTACCACATGTGGGTGTTTCTTATGTTCCACCAACATAATTAAGATCATTTAAGAGGCGGGCTTCTGACTCTGCCGGTCAGGGTTGACCCGGGCTGAGAGGGGTACAACATACCACCAGAAAGACCGAAATATAAATGATATACATGATGCACTTGACACAGATTAATCTCCCTACTCTTGAATCGAACTCGAGTCTCCTGTGGTGTGTGCGACAGTGAAATGTCTAATCGCGACACCATAGATGCCTGTAAAGACCGTTACCAAACTACATTGTACCTCAAGAATGGCCTAGTAAAACCGTTGTAGAAAAAAATCAACTCTGGATAATAATTAACTATAGACCAGTGTTGAACCATCCTTTCCTCTATAAAATTCTCTAAAAGTAGGAGGGGGCGGGGTGGCTCTCGTGGTCTAGAGGCTACGGTGTTTGCCTCTCATTCAACAGGTCCAGGGTTCAAATCCGGAAAGCAACGGAAAATAATTATATAAAACAATTCTCCTATCATCTTTCCGATTCTCTAATCATGTTCTGTCGTCTGCTTTCGTCTTCACTTTCTGCCCCCCCCCCCCCTCCCACACCCCTCCTCTGGGCTCTTGACTCTTTCTGCTGCCTTTCCACTGCTACTCCTTGGTTCCTTCTTACTGTTGTCTTTCAGCGACACTCCTGATTTTAGGGTAGGTAAGATCTAACACCAAGCCTTCTCGGCAGAGGG